GTCCGTCGGGTCCTCGTCAAAACAAAGACCAACACCTTGGAGAGACCCATAAACAAGTTGTGTCTCCTGCTTGAGATGGAAGAATCTCATGGACAATGAAGGACAGTATTACTTAGACTTTGTTATTTTCTATGATTGTCGATCTTGTAAACGTCACCTGAATGTACCTAGGCTGTTCATGTTGTGTTAGACCTAGTAAAGGAGTACATGAGTTGATTTGGATGCAGAAAATGTCTATTTAGTTAGTTAGTATGTAATTGTCATTCCCATAATGAGCAATTAGGGGCCGGAAATGTTAGTGCCATTTTCCATGTCGTAATTTAGATTTAGATTGATATTATTTAGATTCATGTTTATTGATGATTTATTATATCATAAGTATAATTACACTGTGATTATATAATTGTACTCATAATTCGCATGTTAGTTAATACACGTTTAGTGTACATGCTTGGTGTAATACATAGGAGTGAGGCGAGTGAGCGCACTGACTTATGACGTAAGGCACCTGTGCTTTGACGAAGCGAGAAAACGCTGTGTAATTTTGCTCTGTCAGATCATTCAGTAAAGCGAACGGAGCGAACACACTGTTTTCTACCGTTGTTCAACACATTAAACACGCGTAGACTCGTTCTTTCCGTTTTGGAGTGGTTAAAGAAATTAAGAACTGAAGAAGCAACTGCCGAACCTAAGAAGGGAACTTTAGCCACTACAATTACATTAGCTGACACTTTTTATCCAAAGCGACTAAGGTTACAATAAGTGCATTTCAAACATAAGGGTGCAAACTCAACATAAACATAAGTGCAATTTCATCATGGGAAGGTGGCGACGGTTCATGTGACCGGCCGTTCACATCGTAGGACGCTGGCGACTTCATGAACAAATACAGAATCCCTTTGTGTTCATTTCTAAAGCATCGCATTAAGACACACATCACTTTATTATTTAAGACGCTACGCTACGCTACTTGCAGGTCGCTGTGTTGTGCCCGATTCTCAATAAAGTTAGAAACTGATCTACGGCGAACCTGTGGTCGTGAAGATACTCATTAACATGTAATTTGCATGAGGAGGAGGAGGCGGGTCCATGTCTCCACTGAAAATGGAACCTGCCACCTACCACCGGAACCTGCCGTCCGGACAAAGAAACCTTACACAGACCACTTTTCGCACTCTGCCCCACTGATTTTTTCTTTATTTCGGCCACTGCCCGAGGTTGTGAGGCTGCAGCGTTCACAGCCTCTGCAACCTTTTGCCACTCAAGTGCCTTTTTGGAATTAGTAATGCCCATACTGTGCCCTCCAAAAAGCATTTTACTGCTCCTTTCCACCTCGCCAATGATAATTTCGACTTCACACTGAGTGAAGTTACATTTCTTTGTTTTCCTCTCAGTGTTTGTCATGATTTCGCAATCGATGAATATTAATTTGTGGGCGTTCCACAGACTATATATGGGCTACTATGGGTGTGAGATGAAGCCGCAAAAACTGCGCTGCATTTAGAATTGATTGTGATTTATTAAGGGAAAACTGCGTAGGACGTGCGTGCGCAAGGTTTTATAAGTCTGAATATTTCTGTGCGTACGCACGTCCTACGTTTCATCCGTACGCCACTTCTGCCGCAAATCCTACGCAAGGTTTTATAAATGAGGCCCCAGTTCACCATCTCAGAATGAACCATTGGGGAAGTGAGCTGCCCTTTTTTTCCGGGGGAGTGGCAAACTAATACACCTTATTTATATGTTAAATTCCAAATTCTTCAAAAACTTTCAGGTTCAATTTTCATTTTCGAATGATCAAACCTCATTTGGCTCCACGAGTCAGCTGCCTGCTGCATCTCATGAAATATGCTGATGGACTGAGATAATTGTAACGTCAACCTGTCATGAGTTTTATTGTGTTTAGGAGGTCAGTTAGTCTCATGTGATGAAGCTGTTAATCCTGTCAATCTTCCAAGCTTCCTCTTAGGCTGGGTGGCACAAGTGAAGGCACCTTGGATTGGCGGTGACAGTGATGTGGGATGCTCATAAACTCAAGCTGATTGTGATGACTGCAAACCGGTAGAGTCACGTGAGGCTAAGTACGGGAGATTGTTGTGTGGACTCGTTCCAAACAGACGCAGATTCCTCCTGTGAAGTTCATTGATTTTATTGTCCGAAAGTCAAGTTAAAAAACATCCAAGCAGGCGAAGTGATACATGATGTGCGACGATACAATAAAGTGCACTGTAGGATACGGTCAACAAAAAGTATCGTCTCCCGACTCACCCCCATGTCCATACAACCATCACTCCGCCTAGATGCCTACACTCATAAACTACTGCACACCTGCCCACGTGACTCTGATGCTAATTACATTTCAAAATAAAAGTACCAACAATCACACACAGGAAGTGGCAGACGGCCGCTACACTGATGTTTAAGGATATGAGAGAGCATTTAGCCGTGTTTACTGTCGTTTTGGGCTACAGCAGTTTACAATACACTAAAAGTGTAAAAAAATGTAACAGTGAATATCTCTGGAACAATTCCTCCTTCTAGACTGTCAGGGATTGCGGGGGAGGTAGGACTCAGACGCAGAGCTCAAAAACAAAAGGGACTTTTCAAAAAGGTTAAAGCAAAGGCCAAGGGCCCAAACGGGAGACAGGAACTGCGAACGACGAGAGACAAGGACATGCGTGGCGAAAGACAATGACGCCACAAGTGACAACAGACACACATGGCTTAAATACACTAGGGAGGTGCAGGTGATTGGACACAGGTGGAAACTATTAGACGATCACAGGGGATGACATGACAAGGCAGGAAGTGAAGTTACCCGGGGACACGAGTGGCAGAAAACTACAAAATACAACAGGAAGTGAACCACACCGTGACATAGACCTCCACCTCTGTCCACTGTCAAATGTGCTTCCATGGGATCACCGTGACAGTACCCCCCCCTCAAGGGCCGAATTCCAGACGGCTCACACTAGAGCGGAAAAGGGGTGGGAGGGAGGGAAACCCGAGACGTTGGTCAGACCACCCGGGAAACTCTGGCGGATGGCCCGGCGGGCGGCCAGACGAGTGGGGAGCCTCTGGCGGGTGGCCCGGCGGACGGTCACCAGGCCGGCTCCGGAGCGGCGACTGCAGGGCACGGAACGTCTCTGGAATGGGTGGCTCAGAGACACTGGAAACCTCCGGGGTCGGCGGCGGCGGCAGCAGCAGCTCGGGGACACGGAACACCTCCGCAGTCGTCGGCGGCTCGGGGACACGGAACACGTCCGCAGTCGTCGGCGGCTCGGGGACACTGAACACGTCCGCGGTTGTCGGCGGCGGCTCGGGGACACGGAACACGTCCGCGGTGGTCGGCGGCAGCTCGGGGACACGGCACACCTCCGCGGTTGTCGC